CGTGCGATTTTTCTATGTATAATTTCCCGCTCATGACTTTCTTTTATATATATCGTTTTAATGTTAGAATCCCGACTTTTATAATGTTTGTTTTTCAAAAACATTGACCCTTTACCTCATTTATACGCGAATCAACGCACTTTCGACCCCACCCCTTTGCCCTTTGAGGCCTCAAATAATGAAAAAATAACTTATTTAGGCCCAAGCACTTGTTTTTGTTTGAGGATATTGCTACAAAAGTGATCACTTTTTTTCTGCGCCGGTCCCTATAAAGATTCATCAGGGGGATGCCAGAGGGGAATTTTGTGATGTTTTGCTACAAACTAGTACCAAATATCTTAGGTTTAGACATTATTTTCATGGCAGAAGATTTATATTATTTCCTTAGATACCGGCTCTAGGCCATGCTCTTTGACAGTAGAAGATTTTTAAGTTTATAGTATAGGTAAATAATTATAATCAATGACCCCCGGGACGGGGACAATTTAGACCCAATCGCTATAATTTGAACAATCTTGGTAAAGGTGTAATACACAATGTTTCATGCCTAATATCTAACCTCTAGCCTTTGTCAAAACAGAAAAGATGATTTTATTTTTAAAGTTTTTACTATATACATAAAAGGAAAATCAATGACACCCTGGAAGAAGGCAGCTCTACGACAGGGTTGGGGCTGTCGTACGACGTTTCTGTGACGTCAATACTGGCGATCACTGTATACATGTATACATGCTCAGCACATTATTTTTTTGAAATAACTTTTTCAGAATAAAAAAAACATATTTCAATTGTTTTTTGTTTGTTTAATGTCAAACGCTTATATATGGGCTTTATACATGCGCTCTAAGTATAGAAAGAAACAGAATATACAAAGCTTATACCCTATAAAAATGTCTAAAATATCGTTCATTTGGAGCAAATATGCCCTTACGGTCATACTCTATTCTATTAATAATGAGTTCCAAAGATTTCTTCGGAAAATAGAATAAAAAATAAATTTACTCACATCTTTTTTATTTCACATTTGGAAAAATCATAATATTTTTACTAGATTTTACATAAATAGATATTTCTTTGAAGAAAACCCATATGGTATAAAATAAAGGACACCGGAAAGTTACCGTGGTCATGACTCCGGAAAAACAATTTTAAAAAGAAAAAAAATAGTCAATAGAATATAAAAAAGTTCAAAAAGACAAGGCGACATTAACTAAAAGTTACCGTGGATGAAAATCACTAATGTTTAAGTTATCAAATTTTATGATAAACTGCAATATACAGTGTAGATATAATATTTCAGTCTGCACAATTTGCATGGTGTATTAATTATGCATTTTAATTCTTAAAAAAATCTAGAATCCGAACTGTAACTACGTAATTTGCAATCCCGGGGTGTGGAGTTATTTAGTATACTACAACTACATGAGATATACGTATATATATATAGTAGCCTGGGATTCAGACGTTGATATATTTTTTGCTTATTCATAACTTACGCGCTATTTCATACTCGATCGTCATAGATAACACAACATCTCTGGTTTTGATAGTATCAATATATGTCGATTTGCCGACAAGAAGCACATAAAAAAATCGACAGACTGGCCCCCCACCCCCCCCCCCCCCCCAACGTTGCAGGGCCAATTTAACCCAAGGGCTTTTTATTTGCACAAACTTGGTAGACACCCATAAGAAGATGTTTCATGCTAAACATCTAAGCTGTAGCTCATTGGGCTTTTTAAAAGAAGATTTTTTTTAAAGTTTTTACTATACACATATAGTTAAAAACAATGACAACCCTGGGGCCGGGCCAGTTTTGACCCCAGGGCTTTTATTTGAACAAACTTTGTAAACACTTACTAGAAGATGTTTCATGCTAAATATCTAAACTCTAGCTATTTGGGTTTTTTCAAAGAAGATTTTAAGTTTTTGCTATACACATATAAAGAAAATCAATGACCCCCGGGGCGGGGCCAATTTTGACCCCAGGTCTTTTATTTGAACAAACTTTGTAGACACCTATTAGAACATGTTTGATGCTAAATATCTTAGCCATAGCTCTTTGAGTTCTTTAAAAGAAGATTTTAAGTTTTTACTATATGCATATAGGGAAAATCAATGAACCCCCGGGGTGGGGGCCAATTTTGACCCTAGGGCTTTTATTTGAACAAACTTGGTAGACACTTATTAGAACATGTTTCATGCTAAATATCTTAGCTCTAACTCTTTTGGTTCTTTAAAAGAAGATTTTTTAAGTTTTTACTATATGCATATAGGGAAAATCAATGACCCCCTGGGGCGGGGCCAATTTTGACCCCAGGGCTTTTATTTGAACAAACTTGGTAGACACCTATTAGAACATGTTTGATGCTCAATATCTTAGCCATAGCTCTTTGAGTTCTTTAAAAGACAATTTTTTAAGTTTTTACTATATGCATATAGGGAAAATAAATGACCAACCGGGGCGGGGCCAATTTTGACCCCAGGGCTTTTATTTGAACAAACTTGGTAGACACTCACTAGAAGATGTTTCATGCCAAATATCTAAGCTCTAGCTCTTATGATTTTTTAAAAGAAGATATTTAAAGATTTTTCTTTTGGTTGCCATGGCAACCAGAGTTCTGCATGGAATTAAATTCTTTGAACAATTTTTAAAGGTGACCACCAAAGGAACATTCCTGTGAAGTTTGGATGAAATTGGCTTGGTGGTTTATGAGGAGATGTCATTTAAAGTAAAAGTTTACGGACGGACGACAGACGGACGACGGACGGACGCCGGACGAAAAGCGATCACAAAAGCTCACCCTGTCACTTTGTGACAGGTGAGCTAACAACAACAAAAAAGCTACATTTTAAAGTTAAATATTTCATATAAATTACAAGTTGGAACAAAACAAAAACAGCGTGTTACGTTTCAATTTAAAAGCAGTGCGCTTAATATAACTTTACGAAAATATGTCAAAACAGCAATTCATTATTTCGATACTTTAGCAATAGTAAATCTATAACATTAATTATGTATATTTATTTCAAACAACGAGAAGGAACAGAACTAGTAAGAAATCTTGTTTGTACTGAATTCCTCGGAAAATGGGTAAAAATGTGCGCCACACGTTATACTAGAAACATTGGGTGCCATTTAAGTAATTTATATGTACAAATCATTGGTTTTATCATGATAGCTAGTACTTTAAACATAATTTTGGCGTTTCTTAAAAACAGCTACAATTGTTTCTAACGCGCAAAAATCCTTTCATAAAGGCCCATAAAGTCCTAGAAATACTTTTTTTAAGCTTTATATTTATATATATATATATATTTTTTTTTTTATTTTTATTTCCATTATCATTAACCTGAACTATCGTTTGCTTCTGTTAATTTTTGCCAATCGAGTACGGTGTTAATGATTTAGTAATTTGTATGAAAGTCAAAATTTTGCTACAATAATAATTTTAATACTTTCACATTCACCACTACTTTCTCAAGAAATACAGACAAAACAAAAAGGTAAGTCTGCACAAACTGCATGATATATTAATTATGTATTTCAATTATTTTTAAGACTTGAAAAAAAAATAGAATCCGAACTGTATTTACAATGCCGGGAGTAGGGAATTATTTAGAATACTACATGAAATATATGTATAAATACATATAAACAATTAATATAATTCCGAAAAAACACTAACAAACAAATATACATGACACTTTAAAGTGAAATATTTCATTAAGATTACAAATTGGAACAGAATACAAAACAGCGTGTTCCGTTTCAATTAAAAAAGCAAAATAAACAAAAAAATCAAAACAGCAATTCATTATTTCGATGCATTGGCAATGGTATATCTATAATATACATGTATATTATATTTTTTTGTTTCAAACAACGAGCAATACAAGGGACTAGTTAAAGTGTGTACCGTATTTCTCGGAAAATACTATGAAAAATGGCTATACTCGAATGCTTTCGACAATCATAATTCAGGTTGTTTTTTTAATTTTATATATAATGTAGGTAGCTTGTTTAGTCACGGGTACTCTGCACCTTATCTCGTTAAAATCAGTTGAGTAACAGCAAAGTTTGAAAAAAATGTGCGTGTTCCTTACGTGGTGTAACTACTTTCAATCCGTATTAACTCCGAGGTTATTATAGATAAAAGCCGTGACGTTCCGATTTATCGCCACACGATTTATTTGAAAAGTCCGGTGCTATTTGAAAATTGACAGTTAGCTTTTAATTTACTATTAAAGTACTATAAACATACTTTTTGGCGTTTCTTAAAAATGCTTTTGATTTTTTAGTTTTCTGTTTTAATTTCCAAAAGTGGCTGATCGGTCGTTTCCATCTTTTGCGTCTGTTAATTTTTGGAAATTTAGTTGTGATAGTTATTTAGTATTTTGTTTAAAAGTCAAATTTGTTGACATTTTTGGTTAATAATTTTACATTCACCGCTTCAAGTCATAAGCGGTTGCATGCTTTAAAATAGTTATTTAAACGTTATAAAACCCGTGTTCGCTCTGGTAAAAAGAAACTCGCTTCTGAGACATGATATGCCTTTAGCATTCAGTACAGACCCGGCATTAAGGGTGTAACCTAGTATTTTAAGGGGTGAATCGAGTTCAGAAAATATATGCTGTTTTTCTCACTAAAATATTCTATGAATGACATTAAAAATTATTTATTCGTTTTATAATAATCATGTAAATTTATCTGTTTGATTTAATTTAAATTCCATCAATACTTTTAGTACTTTGATTTCATATGTGACGTCAAAGCGCGCACTGACTAGGCTGTGTCTCGCGTGAATTATTGTCTACGACAAAGGCTACGACGACGCAGAAACACAACGTCTGCGACACGTTTCATAAAACGGTCGTACGACATTGTCGCAGACGTACGACGCCGACAAGAAATTGTCGTAGACTACGACACGTTGATAAAACGGCCCCTGGGCCATAGGAATACGTAGTTTATAAACATTATCAAAATACGCAAATACCTTTCTTTTCGTTCGCCACGTTCGCCAACCTGTTCATCAGATAAGACTTTCCTGTCCTATATTGGCCAATTACAACAACAACAGTTACAGGTTCAGATATACAACTTATCTGTGCCATACCATCTTCTGAACTATTTTGGACCCAATGGAAATAATTTCTAAACAGCTCGCCCTCTATGTCCATGCTTCCATTCTCTGAATAACAAACACAATTCATTTATCAATTAATTTTGCATAAACATTTTCATTTGTCTTCCAAATATAAAAACAACTTTTAAAATTATCAAAGCTGACATTTAAATGAAATAGGCTTAAGATTTGTCACCGATGTTTGAGCTGTAAAAATTTCTAATAACTATAAATAATTAATATAAATTTAAAAAGTTTCAAAATTGATTTTTACGACGCAAGAAAAATAGATGAGTGATATATTTGATATCATGTTAGTAAGGAATTGTGTAATATTATATGTTATTTTGGTTTTGGAGTGATATATGTGGATATATTACCTGTTAAGATTTTATATCACCCGAGCCGTTAGGCGAGGGTGATATTTTATCTTGGCAGGTAATATATCCACATATATCACTCCAAAACCAAAATGATAATTTTATTACCCTTCCCCTGCCGAGTTTAGACGATTTTTTAAAAAAATCATTGCTGTTTCAAATGAAACGTCGAAATAAGATTCCCTTTAGGATACCTCTTCGTCACAACATGACGTCACATAAATACATGACGTATTTTTCCCGTACCTTACGAAAGTAAAAAAGAGAAAAGGAGTAGTCTGTTGAACGCACTTTTTTGTAATTAATATCAAGCTTTCACAAGGTCATATTTGTTTTCGATACTGATGGTTATATGTATCATTACTCTACTTTGGTAAATATTTATCATTTGACAGTTAAAAAGTGCTTTTAAATCGGAATTTACACCGCGTATAATCGAACCGTACGCGCATCACCTCAGCGCATATTGTTTACAACGTTGGGTACCAAACGGGGAAATTTAGTGTGTATATTACCCGTCTGGCTCGGTTATATCAATTTCTTTCGGGTGATCAATATCCAATCAAAAAGGCGGAAAAAATCTGGAAGGGTAATAAATATGTATAAGTTGCAATAAACATATTTAGTGGCAGATAAACGGAAAAAAAAAGATTTTTTCAACAGGAATAAGTTTTAAAACACTCAAATTCTGACTTTTTAGTAACCTTCTCCAGGTCAATTATGTTAAGGTCTTTTTGCACTTTGCTTATTCAGCTTTTATTTTTGTCTGATTGTTTTCATGTTTGAGAGATTGATAACTTGTCTTCTTCTTTTGGATTGAGTTAGAGGTTATTGGATCAAGTCACCTGTGCTTAAAATATTTTTTTACACTTTCGCCTATACAGCCTTTATTTATGGACAGATGTTTTTCATATTGACATGAAGATAATTTGCATAGTATTTCTCCTTTTGATTTAGTAAGAGGTCAGTGGGTCAAGGTCACGTGAATGTGCCAATAATAGATTTCTGAACATTTGTTTATACAGTCTTTTTTGATTTATGTATTTCATATTTGAAAAGTATATATATTGCATGGTCTTCATCCTTTGGATTGAGTTAGTGGTCAGTTTAATCAAGGTCACCTGATCTAAATATAGATTTTTACACTCTTGTCTATGTAGCCTATATCTTTAGACAGACGTCTTTCATATTTTGCAGACCGATAATAAACATGATGGCTTTCCTTTCGATTGAATTATGAATCAGTGGGTCAAGTTTTAGAGTGCCAAGAATAGATTTCTACACATTTACTTATACAGCCTTAGGCAGCACACCACACTAAATGAAGCCGCAGCTTCGAATGGCCAGGGAGGATTTCATGGATATAGTGACTATTGTGACCGAGACAAGGCCAATATATTGAACACGCAGTTCCAATCAGTTTTCTCCAGTGCCTCTCCACTGTCTCTAAAACAAACTTGCATGCAAAAACTTTATTACCTTGACCCCAAAAAATACTGTAAATACCCTCAAATGGATGATATATCTGTCAGCAAAAATGGGGTGCTGAAACTTCTTGCCAACCTAAAGATAGATAAAGCTGCAGGCCCAGACCTTGTTCGGCCGGTTGTCCTCAAAGAACTGAGGAATGAAATCACAGATATTATCACAATCCTATTCCAAAAATCTTTATCTTCTGATACAATTCCCTCTGACTGGACCAAAGCCTACGTTTGCCCTATTTACAAAAAAGGTGACAGCACAGATCCAGCCAACTATCGACCGATTTCATTAACATGTATCCTTTGCAAAACGCTTGAACACATTGTCGCCTCACATCTCTCTTCACACTTCAGTAACCACAACATTCTCTTCGACCTTCAACATGGCTTTAGGGAGAAACGCTCCTGTGAAACACAGCTTATTGAACTAACAGACTCCCTTGTCAACAACATCTCAGCAGGGAAACAAACAGATCTTATTCTCCTTGACTTTAGTAAAGCCTTTGATAAAGTAAATCATCGTAAACTTCTCCTTACCCTCCAAGAAAACGGTGTCTCCACACAAATTCTCAATTGGACACGTTCCTTCCTGACAGGTCGGAGCCAAACTGTTGTACTGGAAGATGAACACTCTACAGAAGTCCCTGTAAACTCTGGTGTCCCCCAAGGCTCCGTCCTCGGCCCACTCTGCTTCCTGATCTACATTAATGAACTTCCATCTTTCTGTCTCCAAGTCCCAAATTCGCCTCTTTGCTGATGACACTGTGGTTTACATTACTATAAACTCGTCTTCAGACTCACAATCCCTCCAGGAGGATCTTGATAAGATGCAAATATGGGAAAGGGAGTGGACATGGAATTCAACCCCTCAAATGTCAAGTCCTTCACATCACTAAAAACAAAAAGTCATCAACAACAAGTACTTCCTTCATGGCCAAGCTTTAACATCAGTTCCTAGCTCAAAATACCTTGCCTTGACTTGTCCAGCAGACCTGAACTACAACACACATATCTCAAGAATTACATCAAATGCAAACAAACCCTAGGATTCATAAAACGAAATATCAATACAAAAAATGAAAAAGTAAAAACAACTAGCTATATAAATCCCTAGTAAGACCCCAGTTAGAATACGCATCAACTGTTTGGAGCCCTACACACAATCAAACATCCAAAAAATAGAGAAAGTCCAAAGACGAGCGATACGCTGGGTAAAACAGGATTACTCCCTTTGTCATCAGTTACAGCCATGCAGAAAGATCTTGGCTGGCGTTCTCTCGAGCATCGCAGACTAGACTTTAGACTTATTATGTTTTTAAAATTTACCATAACCTAGTAGCCATTAGCCTTCCCACCTACATTAAAACTCCATCTAGGCTTACTAGACATATGCATCCCTCTCTCTTAGGAAAATACAGGTTACATCAGACTACCATAAGTTCTCCTTCTTCCCACTGTATCACACTTTGGAACCAGCTCCCAAGGAACATTGTCACCCTGCCTGATCTAGATCAATACAAACAGGCAGTGGTTAAGATACAGTATTAGTTGACTTGTTGTGTTTTTACTTTTAAATCTTTCTTTCACCCTTACTAACAAAAATATTTTAACAATGACTAGAAGTTTTCAATGTCTCTCACTGTCCTGATCATGTTCATTTTCAGGTTTTTACTTTCTCTCACACCTTTTACTAACACACCGACGCGCACAATTTCCTGCCTATAACACTCGCGAGAGGGGTTGGCAGTATTCAGAGATAGATAGATAGATTTAAATGACTGGTTGTCTTTAAAATGCATTTTCAGCATGAAATTTGTTTTTGTGACATGTAATATGATCATTGGCAAATTCGAAAACATGGTTAGAAATCACATGCTGATAATTATTGATGTCAAGGTCGCCATTGTTTGTAAACATTGCTTTTAAACAGCATGCTCGGTGAAAACAAGTAATTTAACAGGGGGGTACAAACTTTCAGCAATAGCAAAAAATCTACAAGGCCAAGCACCTATTTCTTTGTGATATTTTGCATTCATAGGGAGTTGCTAAAGCAGTGACAGAGTTTTTGTAGACCGTATATTTGCAGATATTTTTTGCCGGAGGGACGAAAAATGTTGTTTTGGGTCTCGGACCACTATAGATTTTTGGCTTTTACGGAATGAATTGGATTTTTTAACTGCCTGACTGTTGCACATGGGATGATTTCATTACAGATTTGCAATGGTATGACATATATGTTCTTAATAAAATGTGTTTTCTTTTTCCAGGTTGTGTAGTTTGGGATCAGATTTATCAGACATATTGCTTGTAGGACATTGACGGCAGAAACTTGAAATTTAGTGTGGAGTGCTACCTTATACATTTTTCTAACGCTTTCAGTGGTATTTTCGCAATAACTTTAAAACTACCGAAAAGAACCGAAAGTATATATAATGTACATACAAATAAGGAAATATAAATAAATACAGATGCCATTGTTTGATATAATATTTACAATACAATCAGTCTAAAACAACAGATTTTGTTAATAATCCAACGAAATCTGATTTTTTTTCAAACTATTCAAGTTTTATAATATTTTTTTTTACAATCGCTGTTATCATTATATATTATTATCTTTTTTCTTTTTATTCTCCGCCTCTCTAAAAAAATCGATAAAAATTGTTAAATTGCTCGTTTGGGCATCGGTTTTATTTTTTGTAAGTACTCAATTTTACAGGCGCAGTGCAGGTGCAACGTGTGCTTACTGGTAAGTAATACATGCACGTTCTAAGTAGTTTAGAAAAACGCTTTAATTCATAGTCATTGACATTTGCAGCAGTTATAAGGATTTTTTGGTATTTTGAAATGCCGAAACTGTCAAAGCAAGAAAGAGCAAGAGCGATTTGTCTAAATGAAGGTAATGCGAGTTACAATGTATAATGTTGCCAGTCATGATTATAATTTCGTTTTCGATCAGACTTTAAAAAGAGAATTTTAATATAACTTAGGCCATTTTCGGGAGCATGCAAATTTTGTTCATTTTCAGGTTGCAAGAATGCAGAACGTGACCACACATCAGTAATACGTCTGATAAGATTACTGACCATGACTTTCATTAAATCAGTAATTGTATTTATCCGATAAATTTTGCAACTTTTTAAGGTTTGGGCTGCATCAAAAAGAATCTTTAAAATACGGAGATGTCTGTTGTTTCTTTTCCACCTAACACAGTCTGATATATTTCTTTAACCGCTCTGAAAATTTCATTAAATTATCCTTAAAAATATTGCGAAAAGGCTACTGGTAGCGTTAGAAAAGTTTATTTTAAAAGTGTATATACGAGGGGGCGTTCAATATATTCGTGGACTTATGTCCTTACTTTTTTTCTTCATTTCAGAAGCAATTTTAATTTAAAGTATTAATTGATAGCGTTGTTATTCCTTTTCAAAACAATAAAATTCAATTTTCATATCCATGGTAACGCACCAGCGCCCCAGTACAAATTTTCGCAATGAACTTATTTTTAAAGATCCTGTATGGTGTTATTAAAGTTGTAACCACTATTAAGTGAAATTTTATATGCATGTATGTAGATAATTATGATTCTAAAACAATTTTCAAACATCGAAGTATATGTAAAATATGTACTGCAAATATTTGTTCACATTATATGTAATCATTAAAATATATGTATATATTTCTTATTGAAAGATTTGACTTAAACTTTATCGAAAATAAATTTCTAATTACCTCCCTTTATTAACATGAATTTTCCATTTGGTAACATCTTTACAAATAATGTTTTTTGGAACTTACAATATTGTTAAATCTCCATTTGAGCATTAGATTTATTTTATAAAACCATGACAACATATTTAGGCGTGTAAACTTATTACTGTCTTAATAAGATAATTTGTTAAAGGTTCGGGAAAGTAATGTATGACGTTATGACGACGTTTTCTGAAAAGATGACGTCATTTGGACGTTGAAGTTTGAATAAACAACATTTCCGTTCAAACTCCTCACAGTGATTACCTCCCTTGGCAGAATTGTAATCACTGCCTTCACAGACGTCACATGATGATGAAAGTCACATGACGTAACGTCGAAATTCAAATGTAAATATCGACCGTTACATAGAAAATCTAACGTCATTTTTCTCTTTCTGTTTTATTTTTAACTTTTTGTACCTACGCCCGTTATATTTCCTCAAAAAATTATCAAAACCGTGTTTACTTTTTAAAATAAATATAAAAATTGAAAAAATTCATATCGTCAAAAATCTTGACGAAAATGTTGTGATGGCAGAGATCTAATCCTGCTGTAAGGGGAGATCACTGCGTAGGAGATTGATTTCCGTTGTGAGAACATCAACAGAATTGACGTCAGAAATGATGTCACACGAAAATCTAGAAACCAGGACAATTATCAAATTGTGCTAGGATCTTGGGAGAACATCGACTGACACTTGTTAAAGATCCATAGGTTCATGTAATTGCGGTTATATACCACACTTTAGTGACATTATATATATATAATATATATATATATATATATATATATATATATATATATGCTTCTAAAAAATTTTCAAACAGCGAATACTTTATAGAAAATAATTTTATTACCTCCCTTTATTTACATGAAATGTTTAATTTCGGTAATATCTTTATAAATAATGTTTTTTGGAACTTACAAAATTGATAAATCTTAATTTGAGCATCATATTTATGATATAAAATGATAAAAAAAAATGTGTTACAAGATCTTTAAATGCTGCAAAAAGTCGAAGGAAGACATGTGTTTGCCGTGTGTTTGTTTAAACGTTTCTCTGAAGGTCGAGCAAGTATTCAGGACGACACAAGATCAGGCAGGAATGCGCACGTTAATGAATCACACTTAACGTCAATTAAGGAAGCGTTAGAGTTTGAAAGCCGTGTGACAGTTATGGAGTTATCGAAGATTGCCGGCTTGAGTGTAGGCACTGTACATAAAAGTTGAAGGTGCGAAAGGTTCAATTGATAATTTTTACATACATTGATGTATGTATTACGGGGAAACTATCAAAATTGTAATAAACTGCTAGTTTTCAAGATAATGATAAGATATGTACAGAACCCCAATTATTTTTAGACTTTTTATATTCTTATTTAATTTTTTGTTTATTTTAGATCTATTATTTCATTTAAATACACTTATTTTATTATATTACACTTTTTTGAAAATAATTACACTCATCAAATTATGTTGTTTTACACTCCCAAATTGTAAATTGTATTACTTTCATTGGTACTTTTACAATGGTATTGTATTGTATTTTTTAATATTTTCTTTCCATTAAAAAGAGCAATGCTTGTTGGATGTCACGCCTCTTTATAGATGTATAGATGGAAAGACCAGTTGCGGATTCAGCAGAATTTCTGCAAAGATATCGGTGACAGGGTGAAAATTTCCTCGACTATTATCACAAGTTATTACAACGTGACTACGGAAAGAACGACTCGAAACAGAATTATACAAGCTCTTCTCCACGGCTCACACTGGGGTTTGAGCTTATTAAGCATTCACCCCGCTCACCTGACTTAGCGCCTTTTGATAACGATCAAATCGAATATTAAAGGTTATAAATATGAATAATTTAAACAGCCACAGAACACAGCTTTTTTAAAATGTTTAATGAGAGGAAGCACGCTTCACAGGCCACAAATTACAAAATACTAGAAACTTTGTTTCCCAAACTCCTTAAGATTATTTTAGAATTGAGACAAATACATTATACGTTTCAAAAGATCCTGTCATATCCTTTTATTATTTTTAGAATGGCCAGTGACTTTCCGTGATTTCAGTTTGTAATTTAATAGTGACCATTGATAATGCTACATGTATTTAGTTTACCCCTATGTATTTAACAGGAAGTCAAACCATTCTCCGGAAAAAAAGACATTGGCACCCACTATAGCTTAAACCCATGTGCGATATCTGACTATAATGGCGCACCGGTTATTTCATTATTAAAATATAACTTTTAATGGGGTTATAAGCGTTACAAACCCGGTTTCATTAAATATTATAGGGAAATGAAAAAAACAAAAACAACAACAAACAAAAAACAAAAACATGAACTCTCTATCTCAAGTGATTGCTTGAGGTTAAATGAACGTTGATATAAAATGATAAATAAAACTGCCCGCATTATTTAAACGTGCTCGTAAAAAGTAAATTTATACCTGTTGATCCATTATTCATCATGATTGTTGCATGAAAATTGTTACTTGTCCAAAGGTAAGCTGAAATACACAATTGAAAAGCTATTAATATCTTTTTATACAAATTAGATTACTTTTTGTGTGAAGCAATGATACTTTAATATCCTGAATTCATGAACATATATTTATTGAACTTGGACTCTGTGGTCATCATAGCTTACAACGGTAGTCTTTATATAGACGCTTTCATATGACTATAGATAGCAAAACGTTATTAGAACACCTAATGTGTCACAGCTGTGAGAAACACATATTTCTATAGGGTTAACGTGAAAGATCATGCTTGAAAAAAAAACCAATATCATTATGGCATTAAACCATGATGAGAACTTTTAGAATTAACACAGAACAAACATTTTAGAACATATATTTTATTTTAGACTTGTACATAGTACATCGCCATGCAAATAGACAAACAAAACAATTATCACGGCACGTGGTCATGATAAAACAAAATACAATATGATACTTAATTAGGTACAAATGTAATAGAAAATACATTTGTTTACAATGAGAATGTTAAGATATGATATAACATAATATTTTCTCAAATAAAACAGTACTATAAATCCTACTGGCAACCTCACTGGATAGTGTATACCATATTTTACCCTAAAACTACCCCCCCCCCCCCCCGATAAGGGCGAAGGATATGGATATATGTTAACCAGCAGCAAAACTTTAAACTTACCTTTACAGTTTCATTTATAGAGAAATAGGAAATCTTTCACAGTATCATTAAAAAGTTATGCATGGATATATACAAATATCATAATTATGAAAGTGAATATACCTCAATAAAGAACAATGCATGATAACACAGACAAATACAAAAATACAATGTTATAAATAAAGATTGGGAAATTACGTTTTTAATTCCTAGAGGATATTTAAAAAGTCAAATATTTCAGGGTGTATTTCTGATCGCCAAACTTTCCTTAATGTATCTTGCTAAATTCATCAATAAAAGCTTGTAAATTTGAATGACGATGGTTCAAAATAAAAATACATTTTTTTTATTTATACCTTACGGATATTTGTGTAACAAGGACAAACCAGAATAAAATGATATTCATCTTTGATATCAATAGTATTACAACATTGACAATATCTCATGTTTCGTACTAATATATATATACACGTTTGTATCCTAAGAGAATGGGCAGATACTAGTAGTCTAATTCAGGAAATATACATTATTAAACTACGTAGTAAAAGGTCTTAGATCTTATATTTTCAATAATATCATGTCAATCTTGCATAAAGTTATTAATAAGTATTTTTTATTCTAGGAAACAATTAACAATCAATTTTACCACTATTTTACGGTAGGACAAAGGTGACATGTGTGTGTTTTTATTTATCTCGTGGCCACGAGATACTATGTCGTGGCCACGAGATAGCTAAGTCGTGGCCACGAGATACTAAGTCGTGGCCACGAAATAGCTATGTCGTGGCCACGAGATACTATGTCGTGGCCACGAGTTACTAAGTCGTGACCACGAGATAGCTAAGTCGTGGCCACGAGATACTATGTCGTGGCCACGAGTAACTATGTCGTGGCCACGAGATAGCTAAGTCGTGGCCACGAGATAAATAACCAATCAGATTACACCATTTATGTGAATGTCCCTAATTAACTAGACATGCGCTAGAGTACCCCTTTTTCACCAGCCTGTAAAATTGCCATTTATAAAACTTATTGATTTGTCAATAATTTTACATTTAGCGTCACTGTGACCCTGATTTTTGACCCAATGACCTCGAAATTATTAGATGTCATCTACTGATCAGGTGCAATGATCTTTCTGGGTTATATTTACCATAGTTTATCCTTTCTAAATTATTCATCAGACAAGGATTTTACCTTAAAGGCTATTTACTGTCCATGGACAATGTCTCTTACAAATAAAATAAACCAGGACTCATTCCTTCTCATGTTATCGTATAAACAAGGTGAAAGTAAGTTGTTAAGTTTAAAAAATTCATAATATATATAGTGTATTCTGATTGGTTAATTATCTCGTGGCCACGACTTAGCTATCTCGTTCCCACGACTTAGTAACTCGTGGCCACGACATAGTATGTCGTGGCCACCACGACTTAGTAACTCGTGGCCACGACTTAGTAACTCGTGGCAGCGACTTAGCTAATCCGTGGCCACGACATAGTATCTCTTGGCCACGACTTAGTAACTCGTGGCCACGACTAAGTAACTCGTGGCCACGACTTAGCTATCTCGTGGCCACGACATAGTAACTCGTGGCCACGAGATAAATAAAAACACACACATGTCACCTTTGTGCCACCGTACTATTTACATACAGTAGCAATCAGCAAAACTATATGTACACAATAATCGTTTAACTGTTTAACATACTAACCCAGCTATTATATCATTGTTCACAATTAATAACATTTTGTTCATAAACTTTTTTCATCAGTTTGGATTGTTTGACACCAAAACTTGATTATTTTAACAAAACGAATGGCCACCTCCCTAGTTCACTTTTAACCTGACATTGCATGTACTAGTTCTGAAATTTAGAACATTTTTACTAAAGATTTAAAAGGCCCCAACACTTCAGAAGAGTAATTTGAAATAGAACCTACAAATGAATCGAACAGCTGGCATTTGAGTTTAAGTTTTTATTATATGTTTTAACAATTATACAGGAAAACATTTTATGCCGTAAGGCCCTTGCCAATTAAATGTTCCTGGTTTAGAGCAAAGTTGCCAGTTATATTGAAAATAGTACACAGGTAGTTGAAAATATCAACTGTTTTTAACAAAAGTGAAAAAATAAAAGGTCTCACTTGCCAATTATATCCAGTTTTCCCAGGAAAAAACAATATGAGATGAGAAGGAAATTAAAGTATTTTGCTCATGCGCTCTATCTATAATTGGTTTCCCAGTTTTTCAAACTTTTTCAATAATCTTTTTCAAGATTTTCAAAAATAAGAAGGATAGGACGAAAAAATAACTAAATCGATATGAATGATAAGTTTGATCTTTTTGACTTTCATATTGCATATTTCTTTATAATATGTGCATATTTCTTTATAATATGAAGACAGTAACTTTCGATTTTGTTTTAAATTGATATCTATCTCGTTTAAATGTTAGAATCCCGGTCATTTATAATGGAATTTCCCTCTACCATAATTAGAATTTATGTTATTTATAGATGGAAATTCCATAATAAAAATTATTTTTAGCCTGGGTTTTCCACAACAAAATACGAAAATAACCTGGGAATCCAAGATGTTATTATTGATATACTTACAGAATTTAAAAGCGCACCAAAAATTATTAACGATAAAACAGAGATAAATAAAGAATCCCTAAAGAAAGCCCAACAAGATAAAATTGAAAATGTTGCAGACTCGGTTTGATTGAGCCTGTTCATGGACGGTTATAACCGTTCACGCCCTTAGCACCGGCTAAAGCAGTATTCAACATTTAACATGAACTGATAAAATTTGGAATTTTGAAGCACCCGCAGATGTGTTCATATGGCGGTTATCATGGAACGTTTAATGTGATACGTTAGTGCCATTCCATGAAAAGCAGCATATGGTCTCCAAGTTAAAATAATGCGTTTGCCCTAAACGAGAAAACAATGAGCGGAACTAAATAAAATGGAATTTTGAAAGGGAGTCAGAGGTTATGAAGCCTGCATATCACAGATGTGACGTCAAAAGACACAATTTAAAAGTAGGCAACATATCGTAAAGGTGATTCAACATTATTCAAGTAGGAATATTGGAGCACCCAACTTGTTTTGATCCTTGTTGTCGGACATTAAAGGTCTAATGGTCATTTGTCCCATACCCCTGATTTAAATATCATCTGAAAATTTTACACCTTCCAAAAATGTGTTTATATACCCTTCTTTATATGAATAAAAAATATATATTTATAATGAAAACGCAAATTTGAATTTGCCGTAGTTTTCGGTCTTTCGGTCCTTTGCAGCGGCATTTATGATAAATACAAATATATATTCAGACAAAAAAGAGAAATGACGTAACGTCATTGATATACGCCCGCCGTGGCGTTGTCTTCGCCTGTCGCGTTTTTATTTAGTGTTTAGTCCGTACTTAACTTATTTTCTTCAGATTTTTGATTGTCATTTGATATTGGTTTTCAGTCCCTATACTTTTGCGAGCCCAGTTATCGAAAAAGCACCGATTGTGTGCCGTTAATGTAAAACAGCGTCGCTATCGGTCTCCTTGGTCCGTATTCAGAAGATGGCATTGGTATAACTTGTCTCTTGTTCACCAACATAAATATAATCCTGCCAACGCCTACAGTAAACATTTTTCGATTTAAACGTGATCTGATTAGACATCGTACGCAAGCTGACTAAAGTTCAGATCTACTTATTTCTTTTATTGTAGATCTGATGACGACCATATATGTTTCGCCTTCTTTATAACTCGGATTTCCTGAGAAAGCTATTTTTAGTCATGCAATCAAACCGTTTGTTACATTGGCATCAAAAATACCGTTACCCGTGAAAGTTCAACAAGTTGTTGATTTTTGTTAAAAAAATATACATTTGAAATTATTTCTAAGAAATAATGGATATTCTTGTTAAAAACTTTGTGATTTCTCTAACTAAATCACTCCATGCGTATTATTTTCAATGATCAGCCAGAAACTGTTTTCTAATGTTATGAATTGTTACTATGACGGTATAGGGAGTGTACGTGTTTCAATTATTTTTTTACATATAAATGCTTTGATTTATAAATAATTATAACCGTACGAAATCGCATTCATAATTGTTTTCTCTTTTCGCATGCCACGTTCATTGTCCAATTTAAAACCCCGCCCACATCCATTACTTCGTATTTTGGCAGAAACCACGTAAAATAAGTCAACTTATTTTCCACATACACCAGTCCCGGTATGGTGTATGCAATATATTTACGCCCTTAGCACCGGCTAAAGCAGTATTCAACATTTAACATGAACTGATAAAATTTGGAATTTTGAAGCACCCGCAGATGTGTTCATATGGCGGTTATCATGGAACGTTTAATGTGATACGTTAGTGCCATTCCATGAAAAGCAGCATATGGTCTCCAAGTTAAAATAATGCGTTTGCCCTAAACGAGAAAACAATGAGCGGAACTAAATAAAATGGAATTTTGAAAGGGAGTCAGAGGTTATGAAGCCTGCATATCACAGATGTGACGTCAAAAGACACAATTTAAAAGTAGGCAACATATCGTAAAGGTGATTCAACATTATTCAAGTAGGAATATTGGAGCACCCAACTTGTTTTATCCTTGTTGTCGGACATTAAAGGTCTAATGGTCATTTGTCCCATACCCCTGATTTAAATATCATCTGAAAATTTTACACCTTCCAAAAATGTGTTTATATACCCTTCTTTATATGAATAAAAAATATATATTTATAATGAAAACGCAAATTTGAATTTGCCGTAGTTTTCGGTCTTTCGGTCCTTTGCAGCGGCATTTATGATAAATACAAATATATATTCAGACAAAAAAGAGAAATGACGTAACGTCATTGATATACGCCCGCCGTGGCGTTGTCTTCGCCTGTCGCGTTTTTATTTAGTGTTTAGTCCGTACTTAACTTATTTTCTTCAGATTTTTGATTGTCATTTGATATTGGTTTTCAGTCCCTATACTTTTGCGAGCCCAGTTATCGAAAAAGCACCGATTGTGTGCCGTTAATGTAAAACAGCGTCGCTATCGGTCTCCTTGGTCCGTATTCAGAAGATGGCATTGGTATAACTTGTCTCTTGTTCACCAACATAAATATAATCCTGCCAACGCCTACAGTAAACATTTTTCGATTTAAACGTGATCTGATTAGACATCGTACGCAAGCTGACTAAAGTTCAGATCTACTTATTTCTTTTATTGTAGATCTGATGACGACCATATATGTTTCGCCTTCTTTATAACTCGGATTTCCTGAGAAAGCTATTTTTAGTCATGCAATCAAACCGTTTGTTACATTGGCATCAAAATACCGTTACCCGTGAAAGTTCAACAAGTTGTTGATTTTTGTTAAAAAAATATACATTTGAAATTATTTCTAAGAAATAATGGATATTCTTGTTAAAAACTTTGTGATTTCTCTAACTAAATCACTCCATGCGTATTATTTTCAATGATCAGCCAGAAACTGTTTTCTAATGTTATGAATTGTTACTATGACGGTATAGGGAGTGTACGTGTTTCAATTATTTTTTTACATATAAATGCTTTGATTTATAAATAATTATAACCGTACGAAATCGCATTCATAATTGTTTTCTCTTTTCGCATGCCACGTTCATTGCATTGTATACACACCGGTCTCAAATATCGACCTGTGTCTTACGACTCATTACTCACCCCAAATGAGGGTAAAAATGACTCCGACAGAAAGAAGTCCGCGTAGGGATGACAGTTTTATTTTACAAACCACAATATATCTTTTCAAGTGGTTAAAATCGTTCATTGCTTTCAAGGGATCACTGTTTTCCAGAGTTTAATATTGGAAGTGCAATATTGATAGTTCCAATTCAAATATTCAAAACTACTTTCACTTTCGGTTTTAATTAAACTAACAATCGACGAAATACTATCACGGGTGTTGAACGAAACTGGGTTAATAAAACAAATAAAGGATTGTCAGAAGAGTGTTTGGTGCAAGTTTTGAGTAAAAATGATGAAATGGCTATTATGCCAACAGAGTATGGAAAAAGTTTAAATTTTCAACTGGCCCCATTTTCGATTCGTTCTATCACTTCGGTGTTCAAGCCGCCATGTAAAAAGTAGTGCGTTCCCATCATCCTTAGCGTGGTTTCACACAGGTCAGTAAGACCGGTGTACACAATGACGTTCATTGTCCAATTTAAAACCCCGCCCACATCCATTACTTCGTATTTTGGCAGAAACCACGTAAAATAAGTCAACTTATTTTCCACATACACCAGTCCCGGTATGGTGTATGCAATATATTTCAAATAAATTGGAGCTTGTGATTGGATATAATTGGATAAGAAAATGGGACCAACGGTAAATAGATGCATTGGTACTTGTTTGCTTGGCACGGAGTTATGGATTTTGTCTTTTCTGCTTGAGAAGAGTCTTTATGCATATACATATGGATATCTGTTTTAGTGTAAAAGTCACTACCTAAACCTCAACCTTCTCAGTAGAATACCTAACTATATTTGTATTCTGGGTGAATTATGCTAGAGTTGGCACGCTGATTCAATGAACGTGCAGCCGGGTCGTGTGCTTCTGTTTATGAGGCATTTGGATACAATGCTTTCACATCTAAGCAGAAAAGAATTGTCCTTGTCAAAAAAAACAAAAAAAAACAAACAAGCAAACAAGCATTGTAATATAGTATTTTTGAACATTTTGTTCTATTTGGATCAATAGATTTCATAAAGACATACCAGCATAGGCCAAACGGAAACTTTTTCATATAATTTACATCCTAAAATATGATAACAGAAAGAATTGGTAACTTGCACTCTCTAGTACCGTCCATGAACAGGCTCAATCAAACCGAGCCTGCAACATTTTAAATTTTGCCGTGTTGAGCTTTCTTTAGAGATTTGGTTTTCTTTATTTCATAACAAAGGTAAGAAATAGTAATAGAAATAAACAGAAAACGTTTATCTTTTTCCTTAATTTACCACAAGTAATTAAAAGCTAATTATAAAATATGCAAAAAGCTGTCATAGAAATCAAAGCTCGATAGTAATCATACGATGATTGTATGAACCGTCTCAAGCTGTGGATACGACTTAAAAGTGCAAATGGTTAATGAAAACACTCAGTGAAACACGAGCCCGCGATTGATATTGCTCTCGTTGAATCTATCCTAATCCGAGTTTCTACAGTCGTCTTGTTACCTCGATGGCTATTTTCTATTTGGATGGTTCCAGGATCCCACCCTTAAGATATGTGGCCTGCTTTTTAAGTTTGTCTTTTGAAACCTTATCTGTTATCATAACCTCTGACCCCTTTCAAAATTCCATTTTATTTAGTTCCGCCCATTGGTTTCTCGTAAATGTTGAAACTGCTTAAGACGGTGCTAGGGGGGTG